CACAACAAAACCCACTGCCATCAAGTGGATTCTGACTCACAGCAATCCTCATTAGGTTCCCAAGGTGCTAAATCTTTATGGAAATACATTGCCCCATCTTCCTTCAGCCCCCAGAACTCCTTGGCATAGAGAAGAGGATTTACTACCCATCACAAAATGGAGGATGATGGCTAGAAGGGCCACATTAAGCAACTGACTGTCTTGCAAGGAGGAAGCTAGCTTCTCCCGGCCTGACGGTCTCTGGGGCCACTTACCAACCAACCAAGCGTCTCTGAGGCAGTTCTGACTCATGGCGACCCCGTGGCGTCACAGGACTGGGCTCCATACCTTTCTCGGTGGCTGAGTTCAAGCCCTTTCTGGACTCGAACCTCCAGCCTCGTGGATTGCTGCTGAGAGCGTTAACTGCTCGCCCGCCTGCTCCTGCCGGAGCCGTGGGGTTGTGTAATTGCTCGCGCGCCGTGCCGGTGCCTTCTCTCTGCGCTTCTGCCTCTCGCGTTTTTCCTTCTCCCCATTATCTCTGCCTCGCCACGTCTCTCAGTTTCTCCCCAGGGGGGACCTCACTTGCCGCTCACTGCCTTTCCCCGTTTCTCGGTCTCCCTTCCAGCCCGTGCTGTCACCTGAAGGCTGGGGCTTTAGCGTCTCTTCCTTTTTCCCTTCTTGTCTCTGTCACGGCTTCTTTTTATCTGGCCCTTAGAACTTCTCCAGTTCTCTAGCCTTGACTTCCTTGTTTGAATTTGACCTTTTCTCCCTCCCCCTCCCTCTCCCTCTCTCCCCTCACTGTCTCCCCCCATCCCCCCATCTCTCTCCCCACCATCTCTCCTTCTCCCTCACTCTCCCTTCACCATCTGTCTCTCCCCACACCATCTCTCTCTCCTCCCCCCACCGTCTCACACTCCCCCCACCATCTCTCTCCCCCACCGTCTCTCTCCCCCCCACCGTCTCTCACCCCACCGTCTCCCCCCCACATCTGCTTCCATATCTCGTGTCTTCATTTCCTGTCCTTTCCGTTTATGTTTCCCTTTCTGTGTTTCTGTCTTTTTTCGTGTCCTCCGCTTCCCTCTTTACCCTCCCATCCTGGCTCTGTCTGTCCCCGTGCCCTGGGGATTGCACTTCTGCCCCGTGTGGCTGTCCTTTCGCCACACTCTGGGTGTCCTTTCCTTCCTGGATGGAAGCGTGGCCGCAGGCCTGCGCGGGGCACACATCGCCCCGCAGAGGCGATGCCGCGAGCTCACACACTGATAGGCCTACAGCCCTTGCCTGGCCTGCACCTCACCTTCTGGGCAGTGACCGCTGCCGCTCACGTCTGTTCTCGTGAATGGGCCCAGCTGAACCCGCTCACGGGCTGGGCGGCTCTGCGCCCCCAGCCTCACGGCCACCACTGAAGCCTTCTCCGGCAGCTGGCGGCTGGCGAAAGGGGGGTTAGCAGGCCAAAGGGCCCTGGGGGAGGCCGCCCTGCTGGGCACAGCCAAGCCTACTGTCCCCTGCTCTCTTCGGGCAAAACCAGGGGAGGGCGCACCTGAACACTATCCCCTGAGGGCTGAGGGGGGCCCGGGACCCCAGGTGGCCCCCAGTTCAATGCGGCTGCCCTTCAGCCGCAGAGCTCTGATGAGGATTGGAGTCACTGCCCAGGTGGTGTCCAGGGTGTGGGTGGGGGCTCAGACAGTCTCAGAGCAGGCAATGCCCTGATACCCCGACAAAATAAGGACTTGGGCAGGAGGAGCCTGAATTCCTGGGTCTGAGGGAGGAGGAGCTCGGAGGCCCCAGGCCCTGGATCTGAGGCCGGACTCAGGTCTGAGGGAGGAGGGGGCCGGGGACAGTGGGCCCCGGGTCCGAGGGAGGAGGGGCTGGGGCCCAGATCCGTGCGCCCTGAGGATGTGCCACCTGTAGGCACCTCACTTTTCTAACTTTTGTCAGAATTTGGGTCCCCAACAGGCCTTCACTCACCTGTGCACCTCTCTCGCTGTCCTCTACTCCGAGCTGGTCACAGAGCTGCGACCAAAGTTCCCGGGGTGGGAGGCGCCAGGCTTTGACTTTGCCCCGTGGAGGAGGGAGAGGAGGGCTGATTGACTCAGCGGTTTCCTGGGGGTGGCCTTCGACTTGCCTTCCTTCAGGTATCCTGCCCCCCGCCTCTGATCAGACAGGGCAGGGACTTGGCCAGGATGCTCTGGGCCAGGGCAGAGCAGGCCAGAGGGGCTGCCTGAGGGCAGGAGGCGACCAAGGAGGTGCCAGGGCCCCCTGCTCCCTCCCGCTCTGGGTCCCACCTCCTTTTTACTTCTCTCCCCACCCCTAGATTTGGGGCCGAAAACTTCTCCCAGTCCCTTGGCTTCTGTGTGGATCCCGAAGATGTGTCTCCAACAGCTTCAAGGTGAAAGGAGGGGTCAGCCCCCTGGGTCTGAGGGAGGAGGAGGCTGGGGGCTGGATTGGGGCATTTCCCAAAGGTCCAGGGCACAGAAGTGAATGGGGGTGGCAGTGGGATAGCAGGCAATGAGAATGAGGAGAAACTCCATTTCCCAGAAATCTCGGCGGGGGATACAGATTCCTCTGGTCTGTGAGACTCTGCCCCATGGCTGCATGGGAATTGTAGTTTTTCCATCTGGAGGTGGAAGCCAAGTTCCAGGACTCCGGGGTCCCCTGTCTTTTCTCAGGCTGCAGACCTGCAGCTGGAAATGACGCAGGAGCCTCATAAGAAGCCCAACCCCAGCGAGCCCCTGGTGTTTGGAAGGACCTTCACCGACCACATGCTGATGGTGGAATGGACTGGGAGGAAGGGCTGGGACCTGCCCCGAATCAAGCCCTTCCAGAACCTCACGCTGCACCCGGCCTGCTCGGGCCTCCACTACTCCCTGCAGGTGGCGCGGCACCGGCCTCTCCTCTGTCCCTCTCTGTCTCTTGCCCCTGCTGCGTCCTCCCACCTCCCACCTCCCTCTGTCTCTTGTTGGCGCCTTCCGTCTTGCTGGGTTGGTTCTCTGCGCGTTTTCTTCCTGTACATCCCCTGTCTGCGTCTGAGCGCATCTGTGTGCCAGGCTTTCTGCTGGGTGATGCTGGGTTCCCGGAACTGAACAGTCCAATTCCTTCACCTGGACATGCCACACTTTGATTACAACCCACTGTGGTCTGTGCTCTCATGGAGACAGCTGAGGCATTGTGGGAGGCCAGGAGAGACTGGGAAGAAAGGGAGGCCTCTCTTGAAGGTGTCAGTGGGAGAGGGGACAGCAGGTGCAAAAACATGGCCGAGAGAAGAACGTGGCAGATTTGGGGGGGCTGTAGGGTTGTAGCAAAGTTGGGGGGCTGAGGGCATTATCAGGGCCACACAGGTGCTCAGAGGAGCACAGCTTGGGATAATAAGACCCCTGTAGGGCCGTGTGGAGCAGAGCTGGAGGAGAGAGACTGGACGCCAGGAGGCGGCCAGAGTGAGGGTCTAGGGAGGAGAGGATGAGGCTTGAGCTGGGGCTGAGACCGTGGGGATGGGCAGGAGGGTCCGGGCAGAGAGACTGAGGGTCCTAATAGTCTGACGGGCTGGAGTAGGGGGGAGAAGGGCAGGGAAGAGTGAGGAGGAATCTGGGGGTCTGGCCAGGTGATCAAATGGACTGTATGACTGTCCCCAAATGTAGACTCAGGAAGGGAAACAACTGCATGGCCATGGGTCATGGCAAACATGAAGAGCCTGCTTGACCTCCAGGAGAGATCCAAGAGGCTGTTGGTTTACGACTCAAAGCGACGGCCAAAAGCAGAGTCTTTTTTTTACAACAAACAATACATACTTTAATTTCAAACGCAAACTTCACGAGGAAAATTTAATTGACATGTGATTCGGATGGTCAGTTATAGCCATAGTGACTGTTTTCAGTTTGGTCACATTGTCCTCCAACACCGTTCTATGACATTGGGCGTCGTGGTACTGGGTCTCTCTTCCTTAAAGTCAATAATTTGTTTTGTTTTGTTGCTGTTAAGAATATACACAGTAGAACGTACACCAGTTCAACAATTTCTCCACGTACAATTCCGTGCCATTGGCTTTATTTTTCAAGTTGTGTGACCCTTCTCACCCTCCTTTTGAGTTGTTCCTCCCCTAGTAACGTAAACGTGCTGCTCTCTAAGGTTCCCATGTAATCTTTCAGTTACTGTTGTCACTTTAAGGAGCTCTGGTGGTGCAGTGCCTAAGGTATTTGACTGCTAACCAGAAGGCTGGTGGTTCAAACCCACCAGCTACTCCTCGGAAGGAAGGTTGGGCAATCTACTTCTGTAGTGGTACTGCCTCGGAAACCCAAGGAGAGGTTACTATGAGTTGAATTGACTCAAATTACTAATTAACTAAACTATTGTTTGGTGTAAGGAAGAGTTCAGGGAATATTTTTGGTTTAAGGTTTAAAGATTATGTTAGGACGGTCGTTTTGGGGGTTTACCCAGTGTCAGTGGCTCCCGAATGTCTTCATTCCATGAGAATTTGAAATTCTATTCTGTATTTTCTCCTTCTTGATCAGCATTTTTCTAGAGAATCTTTAATCAAAGTGTTCAGAGTTCTGAAAAACATTTTTCACCTATTCCCAGACATTGAATCACTTCCAGCCGCTTCAGCATAGAGGAGACATACCTTGGGTACCAATTAGATACTCATTTTAAAGTGACAATTCAGGTGTTCAGTACATTTACAGTGTGTGCGGCCATCAGCACTGTGTGAGTCCAGAATGTGTGAGTCCACCACTCCAAACAGGCACTCTGTGCCCATTAACCGACACTCCCTGTTCCCTCTTCCCCAAGCCGTTGTTGTTGTTGTTGTTGTTAGGTGCCGTCAAGTCATCTCCGACTCACAGTGACCCCGTGCAGCAGAACAAAACAGCGCCCGGCCTTGCGCCAGCCTCACGGTCCTTGCCATACCTGAGCCCGTTGCTGCAGCCGCTGTGTCAATCCATCTCGTTGAGGGCCTTCCCCTTTTTGTTGACCCTCCACTTTACCAAGCATGACATCCTTCTCCAGGAAATGGTTCCTTCTGACAACAAAATCTTTGCTCTTCGTCACTTGAAAGAGATCCTTTGCAACAGATTTGCTCAGTGCAATACGTCTTCTGATGTCTTGACTGCTGCTGTCGTTGGTGTTGATTGTAGAACTAACTAATATGAAATCCTTGACAACTTCAAACTTTTCTCCATTTATCTTGAAGCTGTTTATTGGACCAGTTGTGAGGATTTTTGTTTTCCTTATATTGACGTGTAATCCATACTGCAGACTGTAGTCTTTAATCTTCATCAGTAAGTGCTTCAAGTCATCCTCACTTTGAGCAAGCAAAGTTGTGTCGTCTGCATATCGCAGGTTGTAGTGATTCTTCTTCCAACCCTGATGCCACGTTCTTCTTCATATAGTCCAGCTTCTCGGATTATTTGCTCAGCATACAGATTGAATAAGTGTGGGGAAAGGATACAACCGTGACGCACTCCCTTCTTGATTTTAAACCATGCAGTGTCCCCTTGTTCTTTTTGAATGACAGCCTCCTGGTCTATGTACAGGTTCTTCATGAGTACAATCAAGGGTTCTGGTAATTCCCATTCTTCTCAATGTTACCCATAATTTGTTAT